CAAAGAGGAAAGTTTGAGGACATGCATGGCTCTTCGGTGGCACTGTGACACTTAACCTGGCCAGCCAGACAGACTTAAACCATAAACACAGCATATTAAGTCTGAAAGGGAGTGGGTAGAACCTGATTTCAAAGGTGCTGCCTTCGCTGCTTAGGTCTGAGGTATGTTATTCCATGCCACAACACAAGTGGGACAATCACAAACTAGCTGTGGGTCTAGAAATGGCCGAGGCAGTGCCGAAGTGGAAAAAACACAAGGGGCCAGTTTGTGCAACAACAGAGGGACATGAGGTCGAAAAAGAGTGGCGATCCAGGTGGAAAAAGGGTCCCAGCATTCTTGCGCACCTCTTTCTTCTAGTTGGTCCAACTTCATGAGGCATTTTCCACAATGGCGGTCATACAAACAAAACAAGCCCGTAAGGTACCAAACAGGAAATACGCATAGTGTAGAGTGGATTCAGATTTGACCAACCAGAGGCTTCCTGTCTGCGGCACTGTCTGCGGTCACCTGTGTGTCGCAGTTAACCTGCGTTAACTGCGACACACAGGTGACCTGGTTTCTGAGCATAAACCAGTCTTTATTCTGAGAAATTCCAATAAACCCACCTTAACCCAAAATAGCTCATATAACATTAGAAAACATTGTAAAAGTTTAACATAAAGAGTTTGAGTTTGATACATGAAAGGCAGAGAATTACCCCCCTTTTTTTTTAAAGAAACTTACCACGAGAATTAGAAAATTCCATAAGTGTCCTGACGGTAGGTAAGATAGAAGTGGCATGTTTAACAGACTTTATAATCCTAACTCTCAGGTTGCAACACATAACTTGCAATATAACTAAGTATAAAAAGAAAGCATAATTATGATTGTCTATAAAATAACAGAAACAATGAGATCTTAGATTTTCTATTGCCCTCTATTCTTCACCTTAAAACTTATGTTAAAACACATTTTACATATCTTTGAGGTTCGTAAAATTATTTCCATTCCTTGAGCCGTGTATATCCGACTTTTGATCTGTGAGACAAAGCATTGAGTCAGGACTTAAAAAAAACCTATTATTTGGCAGTTTTCTTTCTAGTTTTTTAACTCAGATAAGCTCTGTGAAATCACTGTAAGATAGAGCCATTTGCCTCAAACCATCACTTTTAAGATTTTGCTGTTGTTATACATCCATCCTCTTCCTGCATCTAACTCAGACTGTCGCAGTGGATGTGCGTGGGAGGGGGAAGTGAGTTTTTTGTGGCATCATTGCAGGCCTTAGCTCATAGTGCAGCTAAATGGGTGACTGTATAGCTGCTACCCCAATTAATGGTGCTAATGTGCGAGGGCATGTACGTTGAGAAGGTGTGAATGTGTTCATGTGTCAGTGCTGAGACATCATTTGGAGGCTTCTGCATAGTCTGTCTTTAACACTAGCAGTGTGACTCCCATCCATCAGTTATCATCAATGAACAGAACAGATGAATAGTTTAAAAGAAGAATCATGGAAATTAAGTAAAATTAATTGCTGTCATTGTTGTAAAGTTAAGAAAATAAAGCTAATTTTTTTTTCTGTCTTTATCATGAATGCACATAGAAATGCATGAGAGAATGCACACAGAGAATACTCCTTTCAAGCATTTCTGCAGAGCTGTCTTCTACTTGATTGTAGCTGCTTGTAATAGCTGCGGGGTTTCCCTAAGAGGTTTGTCAAGGGAAATAAAGCACAACTGAGGAAGAATAAACTTCCTTCCTCCAAAGGAAACAGCTGTTGTCATGGCAAAGCTAATTAAAAATACCAGTTTGAAAAAGAAAAAAACACTAACCCGATTTGAGAGGTGGCATTTATTAGGACAAACAGGACTCATGAGATGATAAATGGATACAAAGCTTTACTCGACAGAGTTTCGTAGGCACTTAATGTATCAGTGTGTTACTATGTGAGTAGGGTGCTATTTTTCAGTTTCCCTATGTTCCTGTAGTTCAGCATCTCTTCAGAGGACTATCTTTGAAACTCTAAGAGGTGCAGGCCACTAAATCACTGCTGTCCTATTTTCTTAGCTTGTAATGAATAGCCTTTAATATCATTACCCCATAAAAGCCAGCTCTCCTGCCAATTCTTAATCCTACTGAGCTGCATGCACACAAAAGAAGTAAGATCCGAAAATGGTATGGGCTTTATATTTGAGAAGGAAAGGAAATGTCCCTTTATACTCCCACGTTTGGGAAACTTGTCCTCTGTGTTTAACCCAGCCATCCTTTAGGGAGCATTGGGCAGCTACACTGAGTAGCACCTGGGGAGCATTCGGGGGGTCAAGGGTCTTGCTCTGCCACCAGAGCAACAGAATGAGCTTTTGAAGCTGCATCTCCAGGCCACAAACAACTTGATCTCCAACCCTTAGGCCACCACACCCGAAAGTAAAATCGAAATTATAATAAAATAGTTTTCAGGACCTAAATTATGGAGATGTTTTTAGTTAGTAGTTTATTACACTTTTTTATACTGTAGTCCTTGAACTTGTTATATTGTGCAACCATGAGCTTCAATGTATTTAATCTGGAAGATGTGAAAATCTGTGAACAGCAGTAGCATTGTTTGGTTTGTCATACAGTTCTAATGTGTAGAGTGGCAAAACAATAGAGTTAGACTTTTAGACTTAGACAAACTTTATTGTCATTTTGTACACACAAAGTGTATATGAAACGAAATTTTGTCCAGTACAGCTCTCAAGACATTTCCATTTCTAAAGTGCAGCAGTGATAAATTTTAAACATGGCGATCAAATCTAAACATGAGATTGGTATATGGTTTATAGTTTTTCTAACATTCAGCGCTTTTTTTTTCTGTTCCCCATTTTATTCAACATTCAGCAATCAATGATGTGAACATGTGCTTTCTGATTTTAACGGAATTAAGCTATTTGGCAAAATAGACTGTGTAAAAAGTCACTTTGCAAATATATTAGATACACACATAAAAAGTGATGTATCTATAATTGCAGCAAAAACTGGTTCTATTGCATGTTTAATTACATGTTGCATAACTGTGGCATAACAAGTGCAACACTTTTCCGATTTTTATTTTTGTAAAAAGAAATTATAGTAATCTATCAGCTTGACATTGAGTCTCAGTTATTTCCTACTTTGTATTTGTTAATTACCTGCAATTCTAGTGGAACACATTGAAATTTGTTGTGTTAAATGACAAAATATTGAAAGTAGTTTGGGTAGGTACACTTAGACATTGCACTGTTAATTAATCATAGAACACTCTCAAATTCTAATTTGGCATTCATTATCATTGCCAAATTATAATATGTTGTCTGTGAGTGAGGGTAAGAAAGCTGAAATGTGTGTTGCATTTGTGGGTATGTGTAAAAAGTATGCATATGTGTATCTCTGCACATGTCCAGCCTGTATTTGGCTGCTTGCCTTCATAGCTTTCTTCTTTGGCAATGGGTTAAAACTGAAAAAAAAAAAGAAAAAGAAAAGAAGTCCAATGTGTTATTTTGAATTTGCATAGGCTTTGGTGTCTGGCATAAAGTTTAATGCATGTGATGGATTACTGAGCTATAAAAGGAAAGAAAAAATCATAAACCCCTTCTCTTTTCTCTCTTTCCTTAGTTTTCTAAGGATACTAACTATTTTAGTTTTCTAGCCTGTTTGCTTCATAATATGTTTAAAATAGGAAGGCTTTGTTGCAGACAGGTCCTCCTAATGACAGTTGTATAAATTTGAAGCATAAACGACAATATGTGAAAGTATATTTTGGTTTTGTAAAAATGAAATTCCATTCATAAGCTTAGTGACTAGATAAAGAAAGCTGTTTAAATTGCTCAACTTTATTGTCATGTTAAATGAATTATCAATGCGTCTGCAGTTCTAGTTAAAGCTGCTGTATTCTCAGCTGTCTTACCTCACTCTGTATGTGAGAAGGAAAAAAAATCAAGGCTTATCATGGAATTGTCACTGTAACACTATTTTGTGTAACTAGGCCTACACATTCATCAAAATCAAATCTTTGGTGTCGTTAATTTGAAGATTCAACTATGCCTTACACTTACAGTTTATGAAATGCAAGACAAAAATCTTCATTCATTGATTATTTCTTTGTATTTTGCTTTTGGGCAGCCACTTTCAAGGTCAAGGATTTAAAAAGGCCATACCGTACATTTAACAAGTGACACTATTTAACTTATTATGGGGTAGAGTTTTGCCCTAATTTCAACACAATTTCAAGAAACTTGAAATTCTCAGCTCGATATAGAAACCAAGTTCGCACAGATTTGAGAACATTCTTCTGATTAAGAGCTCTGGTCTCAGATTTAGAGGAGCTGATTCTTACTCTGGTGCTCTGTTTTAAAAAGCATTTAAGAATATTTTTTAACTCTGGTTTCTTTTGTCTTCTTTAGTGAAGTGCCCAAGCATTTTCAGTTTCATGAGCTGAAATCAAACAAGGATATTTATTAATATATGTAATGATCCATTGTGAAACAGTTATCTAGTACACATGAAAAAAAAGATGACTTTTCTGGCTGTTACATATTGTTTAATTGATACACAGTTTGCCATATGTCTTAACATAAATAACAGATTAACACAAATGAGAGTGTAGTATCATAGCACGGAGTATTGAAACCTCTAGGGAGCTATTAGCCATAAACTTCAATGCAGTATGAAGTTATGCAATGTATGGTCCATACCTCAGCTATTTTGTTAGGTTAATGCCTGGTCTATTTTGGTATTTATTTCTCAAAGCCTTAGCTTGTAGATGCTGTTGATGTGTAAAAAGTTTCTTTTTAGCCTGATAAGTCTTGTTCTTTGTTCTCCACATGTACACATTTTTTGCTTTATAAGCACTCAAAGCACTGTATATTGCCATGTTCATTTAAAAAGGAATGGACAGAAATCTAACAATTTTTTAAGAAAACTACTTCAGAACACAGTATTTAACTGTAAATTTTATTTTTAATTTCTTAAGTTTTCTGAAATTTCTGCTTTTTCTCTTTGGGTTTTAGATCTCAGCAGGGGTACCATGACGAGCGAGGAGTGTCCTGTGCCACTGAGGAGAATCTCCTCAGCAGGGCCAGGGCAGACTGAGGAATACAGCTCGGCGCACCCTGATGACATCATCGAGGAAGTTGGTCCAGGTGACGACGACGTCAGCATCGGAAGTGACTTAAGCACTCTTGTGTTGCCCTTCCCTGAGCTGGCGCCAGTGGTCTTCTTCTGCCTCAAGCAGACCACCTGTCCTCGCAACTGGTGTATTCGCATGGTCTCCAGTCCATATCCTTTTCTGTTCCTTCCTTGAAATTATCCATTTAAACCTAAGCAATAACATCTACATACTGTAGATGGATGGATGGTGTTCTTTGGTGTGCAATATTTTATTCATTTTATCATAACCCCCTATAACTGATCAAATCCGAATGTTTCTTCCTGCAACCACATTTTAGCTGTCGGGCCTGAATCTTCTCAAAGTAAGTCTGTTCAAATTCCTCATACAACTTCTAATTGCAGCAGTCAGTATTGTACTGCTAAGGCAATGGAAACTGCGCATTTGGGTGTAGTATTTTTGTTTGCATATGTGTGTGTGCTGGGGCTTTTAGCTTGCGGATAAGAATAGACGGTTGTCTTTTTGCCGACGACATTAACAGTGCCAGTTGGATGATAATGATTCTCTCCACAGTAGAGGTATAAAAAGAACACTGCAGTACCGTCTATCTGTTTGAGTTTTTGACTATAAATGTCTGAAAGCTTTGGTATGCGTCCCAGTTTTTTTGTTTTTTTAGAAGACATGAAGATAGACTTTTCTTGGATTGTCTTTTTTTTATCATGAGTAATAGGGAATTATGTAGCAATCTTTAATTACATATTGTATGTACGTTTAAATTATGCAGATTTTTATTTTTTCATATTGTCTAACATTTCTCAGACTTTATAACATGCCTGCAGCTGTTGTAATCATTACCCCAAGCATAGCCCCGCTGTGTAAGACTGAGAATACCTTCCTTCTTTTTCCCTTTCAAATCTCAGCAGGCCTCATGTTCACAACACATAAACTAATGCAAGCAGTGTTACAAACCTTTTTTTTCTCCACATTGTTAATTCCCCGGTAACATCAGCCTGGATATGCATAGGTCGCTGCTAAAGCTGCATGAGTCTCAAAGAAAAAAAAACAATCATTCTGTTTGTTGGATATGTGTTATGTGTTGGATATGTGTATGTGTATGAGGAAAACACTAGAGTGGTAAAGGCAGGGTGGGATTGAAGTGGTTTGAGAGATAGTTGTTTCTTTACTGAAGTGGTCATGCCTCTCCTTAAACCTATTTAAACTCACAGCAACCACGTCTTTTGTTTTTATATTCAGTTGAACCTAGGCAGAATAAATATACCAGCATCTCACTACACTAACCGTTTTAGGTTAGTTAAATGAATTAGATTGAATTTATTGTATTTGTATTGTGCCATATTACATCACTGGTTATCTAAGTTCTTTAATCAAATCATAAAGATTGTTTAAAGGTCCTATATCATGCTTTTTAAGCTTTTCTAACTCACCTATAGAAAAATATGTGATGCAATAATACATATAGGTATATTGGTTTTAATATAGTATTATATTATAATAAAGAAAGAAAAATAATTTGATGCAAACCTGCCTTTCCCGTCTTGGTGTCACCAATTTCACGAAACCATGGTATGACTCTACTTTTGAATGTTGCACAAAGTCCAAGACCTCCCATGCCAATAATAACAGGTTTTCATGAATTAAACGTTCGATTAAAAAGAGATGTTTGCCCTGAGGAGATTAGCTGCTAAAAAAGCCACTTAGCCTCAACCTTGAGCTGGAATCGTGGCGCTGTGCCTCACATCATCTCTTCCTAAATGGAGAAAGCGGTATCTTGTTTACAGTGCAGGCACATTCTCGTTAACATAGCTGGTTCCTGGAGGGAGCCTTCCTATATAAATAATCTCCAATCACTCATTTTTACAGGTCAGGAAGGGCTGCTGCTCAGACAGCAGAACTCATGAGAATTAATTAGAGATGCATGAATCATCAAAATACTACATTGTTCATGATTTTGGTGAGGGAATAGCACTATAACATATTTAAAAGCAAAAAAAATTTTTGCATGATATAGACTCTTTAAACTATTTCTGAGGAAACATAATGGATTTTACTGAATCGTTAGCTATATTTATGTGTTCACAATTATTTGGTTGTGCTAACATAAAAATAATCTGAATAACTCTTTTACATAGGGAGAATTTAAAATAAACTTATCATAACATACAATTATTTGCACTTCAATTTGTTCTGCATAAATACAGAGTGGACATATTTCCCTAAAACAAACACAAATGAGAAAACAACATACAAAGATGTTGTCTAAATCCAAAAATGCACCCACAACAGGTTCAGGAGGTTAAGGGGTTATCAATTTCCAAAAGTAAACTATAGCCTCCTTAAATCCTTCTGTTGCCATTCCTGCATTGCAAAGTGAGAAAGTGGGTTGAAATCAACATCCCACAAAGTTCTCTGCTGCTCATCGCTGCTGCCCCTTCCTCCCCACACATGCAGTCAGATCAGTTTGCCTCAATCTGAATTGTATAATCAGTAGAAGTGTTTACATTAACACTGTTTGGAAAATATATCAGTATAAATGACTCCACTTGCTTGTATCACAATTTCATCAATTGAGCTCCATCTCCAGTGCATTTCAGAATAGCCCAAATTCATGTTTATCTTCGCATCTGTAAAGTAGGCAGCATATAAATACACATATAAAGACATGTTTTGCTTATGGAAGCTTAATTCTATTGTCATTAAGTGCTGCTTTGGTTGTGCTCACTTTACTGTAACCAATTGTGCATGAAGGTCAACAATAAGTGGTTATTTTAACCATCTCTTTGAGATCAATAAATGTGTCCGTCACTCAGCATGAGCGATACACCTTTAGTCATACACATGGCAACAAAGGAATACACACACATCATTGTTCCCAGATGTATGCCTGCTGCCCAGCACCTGGAGCACTTTTCTCTGCCCCACTCAACTCCTTTTTACTTATACAATGGAGATCTACCCTATTCTCACATAATATCTTAGTTTAAAATATATTAATAGGTATGTTATACAGTAGGCTTCTGTTCAATGTCTGTCTTCATAGAGAATTATAATGCTTTGGTTTGAGACTCGTGTATAGTACAGAAAAACATAACAGTACTAACTTAAAGAGAAATGGATCTGATATTAGGCAGAACTGGTTCTGCCTCTCTGAGAAATTAAAGGATGTTTCTTTTTGGGTTTTTTTCAGTCAACCAAAGGAGAAAAATATTAAAGCTGAAGAAAATGCCCTAATTAGTATGTGATATATTTGTGGTTTCAACCTCAGCCGTTTGGAAAGTATATTGTATTTTTTTTTTTCTATGCGTATGTAGTCTTAGAGGGAGAGGTGAATTATTCATAGAGAGACCAGTCACAACAGGATAGGTTCCATTTCTAAATTGGTCTGATCAGAGTGTACAGTGCAAACCACAAATACAGAGATATATTCCTGTTTTCTCTGGAAAGTCAACAGACCATGATCACAATATACTGTATCACAATGTTATGGGTAGCAGCGCTGCCTTGCAGAAAGAAGGTTCCGGGTTCAATTCCCAAGCGTAGAGTTTGCTTATTCTCCCTGTGCATGCATGGGTTCTCTCAGGCTTCCTCCTACAGTCCAAAAACATGACTGTTAGGTTAATTGGTTTCTCCTTAGATGTGTGTTTGAGTGAATGTGTTGCCCTGCCACAGTGTACCCCGCCTCTTGGCCATTAACAGCTGGACATAGTCACCAGCATCCCTCACGACCGCAGCAGGGATGAAGCATGACAGAGAATGGATGGATGGACGGATTTTTATTCCTTTTGGTTCTTAGGATATAACAAAATAAAAGCCTCAGAAAGACTGCAAATAATGCCCAGAAGAGAATCCTGTATGAACGTATGACGATGAATTTACCATGTTCATAAAAGTCTTCCAATGAAACATTTAAAAAATATTTGCTTTCAAAACAAGACAGTTGCTCTACCATATAGTATGGTATATAATAATAATAATAACAATAATAATAATAATAATAATAATAATAATAATAATAATAATCAATAATCAATAATAATAATAATAATAATAATAATAATAATAATAATAATAATATTGGATGTAATATAATATAATAATATTGGAAATCTCATCTCACCATTGTGTGTGTGTAGGTTAGCTACAATCATCTAAATTGTATTTGCAATGCCACATAAATGAGAAAGATAATTATTTTAAATAGTCCTTCATATTTACATTCAGTAAACTTACAATATCTGTAAATTATTAGTAAAAGTTTAGATCAAGATGATATATATGTGTAACCCTCAACATTTAACTGACATGGAGGCCCACCTAAGGATGAATTTTAATCTGGGAATGAACAGGTATTTTAACGGACAATGACCCTGAGCAAACAGCCAATCTGGTTAAAGTGGGATTTACAGGAAGGACAAAATGTCAGTGCCTTGTGGTCTCAATCAGAAGCCCTGATTACTACCACAATTTTTTTATGGTAAAATTTTAAAAAAGGAATGAGTCAAATTCTTGCAGAATATCAGGAAAAGTTTTAAAAGGAAATGGTTAAACCAAGATATTGTTTTCAATTTTTAAAGCGATCATTCTCACATTCGCTGAATCAACGTTGAAGTCAACATACAGATTACAGTACTAATCATGAAAGATGCTTTTCTGAATTTAAAGTTGATCTTTCAGCTTTAAGGTTGAAAATTTAGCTATTCTTCTATAGATTTTGATCAAAAATGTTGCTTTAGAATATTTTTTTTTCTTATATTTAATAGAAAATAGGACGGAAATATCAAACATTAGCAGAAATAGATAAATGACCTTTGTGACACTTTTTAGCTGTAGAAATATTTACATCTAATTAAACTAACTTGTGTTCACATAAATTTTAATTTTCCTTCCAAGCAGACCTAAAATTAACAATGGTCATACCTGTGATTACAGCTAAATGAAATGTGATGTTTAATGTATAATTCTGGGTACACTGAGGTTCTTGTCTGTTTAGAACACATGTCTTAGTAACCCAGGGAAGATTATTTCTGGTCAGTAATTCATTTTGCAAGTCAAGCTGTCACTCATACTCTAGTATGCTTCAGCTAACAGAACTGCTAACAGAACTGCTTCCAGATTAACTCGACCTTTCAGTAGTTTGTTTTCCCATACATTT